TACATCTTGGATGCCCTGGGGGTAAGCAGATAAACATCACATTTTCATTTTTGGGTGAACTATCCCTTTAATGTATAGGAGTTTACAGTACTCATTTATTTGTTTTAAAACAAATGGTTTAAGGCAATCGGTTTCCTCAAACAATTTGAGTTACCGTAATTTTTTGCGTTTTACAGTGTATGTATTTTATTCCAATTTATTTATACGAGTGAAACCAATTGTAACAGTGTTATTTTGTGATAATGTAAATATATTTGTTTATAAACAATATTACCATGATTATATAATTTCCATATGTTAATGCTCACAAAACATATCAAGAGCATGTCCAGGTCACATTTCACCTTAAAACCAAATGAAAAATAAATAAATAGAAAGAAAAAAATTGTTTTATGCATATGCACCTTTTTTCAATTTTGGAGTGAAACTTGACCTGGACATGATCCTGACAGGTTTCCTAAAATTTACTCTAAATAGTCTGCAGTGTGTAAATATACAGTATATGCTACATAAATGTTTACTCTGGAAACATTTTGACCGACATTGTATTTTTATCACAATGCATTACTTTTTAAACCATAACAATTTGACATGCATTTCAAACTTCACCTACACTGATCACGGCCCCAGTCCAAAAACACTGGATTTTGTGGAAGCTGTTGTTGCTAGAGGCACTTGTTATCAGACCAACAACATTCCAGCACTGTCAACGCCAGTCGGCGTCTGCAGAGATGCAGTGGACATTGTGTTCCTGTCATAAACACAGATCCTAGCCTTACGTCGTTGTTTGGATCCTATGGGACAACGAACAGCTTATCTGAGTGTTCACATAAGACCAAATCTGATCATTACACACACAGGCCTGACCTGACAGCATGCAGACTTCAAAATCCATTCATATCCACACCATATTAACCTTTAGTCTCTTTAGATTCACTAAATTTTAGGCAAGCCTGAGGATTTGACAGTATGACGTATGCTTTGATAAATACAATAATAAAGCAAATTTTAATCCTGATGATGACATCAAAAGCGAGACAAAACCAGTAAAAGGCTAAGAGAGAAGAGGATTTATTTAAATCCTCACAATGGTTCATGCCAGGCTGATAACAGTTCTTCGGATAATCTGCCCCTCACTATTAGCCTGTGACGTGTTACTTTAGCTCTATGTGGTATTTTTGGCACACATAAAAAAACTAAAATCACCTAAGAGTATTCTGGGTAGTCAAATTCTAAACATACAAAATAAATTAATGATAACATTTGTCAACAACACTAAATTGTACCAGTAGCAGTGCTACTGGCAGTAGCTAGTTGTGATTTCATTTAATGCACCATTATAACACAAGTAACTACATACAGAGCAATTTAGAATAGATTTTCCTATTTAAGCATTTCAAATTCAAGTACATACCACCTTGCTGGAAATTAACGACTTGCTATTATAAGGACATTACCATTTCTCTAGCCATCTCCTCAGAGTCTATCTGCTTATTTTGGACATGAACAATGCAGTCAGCATTCACTTACAGGCCTCGCTGTGACCATGTTGTGAGTTCACATGCTGATTGACTCCTGCCTCCCAGAAAAGCAACGGCATCATGGGCTGGGGCTTTGTATCAGGTCTCTCTGATCCTGCTCTTAAGACCCTTTCCAGCTGCCCACCACAGCACATGAGCACTCACTCTCGCTTACACCACTCGAAAGATCCCAGACGCCAGATCCCAGAAAGATCTGATGCACCAATACTGAGACAAAGCCAAGACTTTTAAGACTCTGAGAAGACGACCGAGAGGCCATGAGTACATTCGGCTACAGGCGGGAACTGAGTAAGTATGAGGATTTGGATGAAGATGAGCTGTTGGCCTCGCTGACTGCTGAGGAGCTCCAGGAGCTGGAGAAGGAGTTGGCTGATATTGACCCAGACGACAACCTTCCCATTGGACTGCGACAGAGAGATCAGACAGCTAAGAATCCCACTGGAACATTCAGCAGGGAAGCTCTTATGAAATACTGGGAAAACGAGACTCGAAAACTGTTGGAGGAGGAGAGGATCGGATCCACAAGCCCTAGACAGGTGAGTGATCAACAACCTCAAACACTAATTATACTGTCAGAAAAAACGTGCAAACATTTTACTTTTTGGGGTACAACAGCTTGTCAATAGGGTAGTACTCAATAAAGAGACGTTTGTCTCTTATTTACCTATAAAGGGTGCATATTAGTACCTTAGAATAGGAATATGTACCCTTAGGGTAGTAATATATACTCTTATGGTACTACTATAGGGGTAAATAAGGTAGTCCATTTGAGGGTGCTGCCTCAGTGTTAAGCTATGAGTGTGAGATTTAAAGGGTTAGTCCACCCAAAAATGAAAATTCTGTCATTAATTACTCTCATGTTGTTTCAAACCCGTAAGACCTTCGTTCATCTTCAGGAACACAAATTAAGTTATTTTTGATGGAATCTGAGAGCTGTCTGACCCTGCATAGACAGCAACGCAACTGAAATGTTCCCAAGTCCAGAAACGTAGCAAGGAGATCTGTAAAATAATCCATGTGACATCAGAGGTTCATCCGCAATTATACGAAACTACGAAAATACTTTGTGCGCAAAAGAAAAAAAAAAAACGAATGAATTCAACAATTCGTCTCCTCCACATCACCCTGGTGACATTTTGGAGAATATCCGCTGGACGTAAAACAACGTATGCTGTTCTGTGTCAGCTGCGTCACGCCGGATCCGTTTCCTACGTTGTTGTGATTTGATCTGAACGAAAACAGCGTATCCGCGTGGCGCAGCCAAATTTCAGTTGCGTTGCTGTCTATGCAGGGTCAGACAGCTCTCAGATTCCATCAAAAATATCTTAATTTGTGTTCCGAAGATGAACGAAGGTCTTACGGGTTTGAAACGACATGAGGGTGAGTAATTAAATGACAGAATTTTAATTTTTGGGTGAACTAACCCTTTAAACTCAAGAAGAGTATATGCTATATTTGAAGATTTTAATTTGAATTGTTGAACAGTTACGATTGGTTAACTTTCACAAAAAAGACAAATGGTTTACATACCGTCATAATCTGGGTAAAGGAATGACACCATGGGTATTTCGAAAAGCAATGAGCAATCAAAATGACGAACACTTCTCGAAATATGCCACCAGATCTCATAATAAAAGAGGAACAACAGCACCAATATTGTTTTAACAATGACTTTGCTGATTCCAGAAAGATGAAGACAGCAGGGAAGAGGAGGAATGCATGACTGAGAGCGACAATGAAGAATCTGTGGATGAAAAAGACGAGGCTGAAAAACGTGAGAAAGACATACAAAAATATCGGGAAGCTGAACAAGACCAAGAAGAGGAAAGTGAACCAGAGGAGCCGATAACAGAAGAAGAGGATGTGGAAGAAGATGAGGAAGAAGAGGAGGAGGAGGAAGAAAATGAAGAAGAAAATGAAGAGAACAGTCCTAAAATAGCACCGACATTGGATTGTACCACTCACCCACAGCAGTGTTGGTCTTCCAATGGTCAGTCCAATCAGAGACAGGCAGAGCCTGTAATACGATACTCTCCACTGATGAGTGAACCAAAAGTCCAAGTTCAGGAGCCCAGTCGCATGTCAGGAAACCCTACTGTGGTGGACGAGGTTCTGGAAAAGATCCTCACCAATGACCCAGATACCACCGAGGTCAACCTCAACAACATTGATAATATCTCCCAAGACACACTTATCCGATTTGCAGAAGCCTTACGTTCGAACACACACGTACGTTTTTTTAGCCTTGCCAACACA